TACAAGTACACTGGCTGGGCAACGGAGGGTGCGTCTTCCATGGAAGGGGTGCATGTGCACCCGATGCACCCAACTACACCCTTTTTTTCTTAGAGTGTACAGTCTGTAACATATGTTTAAATTAATAACAATAATTTAAACTGAATACTACAAAAGTGGTGTGTATTAATGAGCAAGACACAAATGAAACAGATGATATCCAGCCAAGAAATGGTTAACTGCATTGGGGAAGTTCACTTTTGCAAAGTTCTTATTGAAAAGCTACCCATAAAGCACATCTGGCATGGCAGAGTGAGCTACAGTACTTCTTCTAGCCAGCCCAGAACCACAGCACGATACTATGAACAAGACGGGAGCATATGAAATCAGTGGTATAGCAAGGGGGGAAGCTTATGGGGCTTCAGCCCCCCCCCCCCCCCCCCCCCAAATCCAGCCGACCCTTTTTCATAACATGCATTTTGACCTGACGTACTTCCCCCTCCCCCCCCCGCACCCCCAGTCATAAACACGTCAGCCTCCTCCCCCCCCCCCCCCCCACCTACCAAAAAAAATCCTATCTATGCCACTGTAAGGAAGTTCCCACTTCACATAGCTTGCAAAAATGTAATTCTAATGTACATGCCTGAAACTCAGCAGGCGGGTAGTTCCAAGACTTTATCACCTGGTCTGAAGCGCTGGAACTAAACTTGGGTGGAAATTGAGGGTTCGGCGATGAGTAGTTCTTTTTTGCGGTAAAACAAAAGCATTTTTTGTATTTGTCTGTGCGTGGGATGGGGTGGGTGGGCGAGGACACCCTTTATGAGTACATAACATCAGGTGATAGTAATATGCTATACACACAATGTCGTGCACCGCGACCGGAAATGGCTATGCAAAGCGAAAGTTCGTCTGCTTCTAGCACAGGGGTTGTGATGATGTCAGGACTCTGAGCTTTTATTGGCTGATCGAAAAAAACATTGGGTAGACCTCAAGGCGTCTAGCATCGAGGTCTACCCGTTATCTCTTCCAATCAGAGCCAATCGGAACTCAGCGTCGTTCCGACGTCCCCGCAACTCCTGCGCAAGGAGCAGGCGACTTGCTCTCTGCATACGCACGATGCGAAACCTTTTGCTTCTCGCCAGGTTTACGGGCGAAAAGGGGGGCGCTTGGGTAAAGACACCCCAGGGAATCACGAGCGAGCTTTTAGCAAATTCAGAAATTAATTATAAAAAAAAAAATAATGCTGCATATAAAATGAATTGTCGAAAAGGGCTGCCCAATGTATGGCGTATCTCTGTGGTAATGCGGTTGTTTCCCACGGAGCGGACCCAGGGTCAAATCCAAAAATAATAGGTGTTCTTTTTTTAGACAACATATTTTCCTTTACAACTAGAGCTGCAAAACTCAAATGCGTTGTCCACAAAACGTCTCAAGACGATAGGGAGCCAAATATTAACTAAGAGTAAAGTTAAATGCACTACGTCGTGCATCTCGACTGGAAATGTATATACGCACGACGCGGAGAGGTCGTGCAATTTTGGTCGCCCTTTTAGGACGGCGCGTGTATCACTGCGGAGCGCATTAACCAATCCCCCCGCCTGCGTTCACGCCGCTTTGCTGCGACAGTTTGGGGCTGCTAGTCACAAACCTCTGAACCCCTTTGGCCCACTGTACACGCCGTCTAGCCGACAACTCAAGCCCACTGTCTCCCATTGCACTTCTGGAAAGGGAGTCTCATACCATTTAGTTAGACAGTTGTTGCCGAAATTTCGCTGAACAAAATGGTATGTGACTTCGTTTCCGGAGGTGCATCGGGTACAGCGGGGCTTGGTCTACCGGCTGGACGCCGCGAAGCGGCGTGTACGACAGGGCCAAATGGGTCAATAGTTTCGTAATTAGCAGCCGCATATTGTCGCCGCGAAGCGGCGTGAACGCAGGCGAAGCAGCGTGAACGCAGGTGTGTTAACGAGCTCCCCATTGATACACGCGTCGTCCAACTCTCGGACGGCACTTGTAGGCGCGCTTGGAGTGCCGTCGGACGGCACTGTAGAAACAGCCTTTTTATTACCACTCCAAAAGTCAGTAAAAAAGGCATGCAAAATTTCTGGTGGCCGCTGAAACTTCAAAGCCCTGCCCGCAGGCATTTAACATGAAGCAACTTACCCGAGGTCAATTCATATAGGTCGCGAAAGTGGAGCAAACAAGCGGCCCAAAACCAATCGCTAGCGTCATCACCCTGGAGGCCGGGCTACCGCAGCGCGACTATGTTTTGCGCGGCCAAACACTAAGCTGATAAAATATTAAAGACACACTTTCAGTGTCTTATATAGTTGACTTTAAATCAAAGTATTATTTATTAATAATAACTTAGTTTAAACATGTTTAGAATGGTGAATTTTTCAGGTTATGTTCAATATGTATTATGTTGTGCATACTTGTTGCGACATCTACAACGTCGCTATTTTTCGCCGTCGGCAGAAGTTCGCAGTCCTGATACACCTCGTGTTTGCATTGTTTGCGTTCGCCAGTGTGCCTATATTTCTGTAGCTCCCGTCGAACTTTCACTTTTTGCAATAGTTTAAAACGACTTCGTGGTCTTAAGTTTTCCCACGAACGGTCTGCACTAGTTGAATCCTATTGCGCCGTTCTGTTGCTTTTGTCGTCGAGCGCCGGACGGGCGCGTTCAAGGCTCTGTCGTCGGGACGATGCGCCCGCCCCATGTAAAGAGGCGCTGCGAGGTAGCGCGATGCCCAAGTGATGACTGCACCGCTGGCATCACACTCCATCGTTTTCCTGTAGACGCTGCAAGGTGAAGCTTGTAGCAGCTGTGTCCGCTGCAACTATGTGTGATGTCCTAATGTCCGTTGTCCGGTGATGTCTGGTAAGCTCTTGACTTCTTCTATGGGCCCTCATGCATGCTCATTTTGTAATAAGCACCCGTTGATCGAGTTTTTTTTGGGCCCAGTCTCCGTTCCAAGCTTCGCGAGACGAAACTAATCTTAGATATTAGTGGCGGCTTTGCTTGACCTCTGCTGAACGGCTGCGTGACCCCAAAAACCTAATAAGAAACAATGACTGAACATTTCAGTTTTAACGAACTTTTATAATATGGTGTGAATAACACTAAAACGTCCTTTCTGCTCGAAACGTGTTTGGTGTCGTCCCTCTAACGTGCTGGCGACTATCAGGTCTACTTGCTGTGGATGTCGTGCTCGGGAATCTAGTAATGTAACCGTCTGCGTTGTGAACCCATCTAACCTCACGGGCACAGAGGTGTGCTTCGCGCTCATGGCGTTCGCTGGACCCAGACGGGAGACCAAGTACAATGATGTCTCTAGTTTATCGCTAATATTATTGTGTAATCTTTTCTTTCTTAAATGTCCACTTTAGCCAAGGGTATGTAAAGTAATACACTGCTTTACATTCAGGCGGAGGGTCTGGGTTGAGTTCTGCCGGAACACAAGCCTACAGAACAAGACACCACAGCAGCTGCGGGAACGGGCGGTATGCTCCAGGCACTTCAAACACTCTGCATTTCTTTACCGAGGAAGGCTGCGTCGTGATGCAATACCAGCATATTTGACCACTGAGGGTGAGCACAAAATATTGTTTTCATTATTACTGAGAATAATAATGACTTTATTTTACCATACCAGTATGGTGGGAGCTGAGGAAAAAAGCTGTGCAAGCACCTTGACTAGTCCTCAGCCCCCCACAGGTACACAGCATTGGGGAAGTCATACACAAGAATTTATATAATACAAAATACTTAACAACAAAAAATTAACGAAACAAGAACAAAAGCAAAAATCTTCTAGCTAATCAACAGCAGTAAGGATTGTTTAATTATAAAGAAAATAATCCTTAAGCGCACACATATTGGAAGATTCGACATCAAAATTAGAGCCCATAAGAGTGTTCAGTAATGTTGGCAAGGTTATTTTAATCATTTGGAGGCCATAATCTGTTCGTGACGTTTCTACTGCCCAAACATCGGAGTGACGGGTGGAATATGTTGCAGCTTTTTTTCGAAGTGATGATAATGACAATAAAAAACTGTTTAACTCGCGACATTCCTGTTTACACTTTATGCTAAGTCTAAAAGCATAGTGATCGAATATCTTAACTACACGCAGCTCTCTGAAAAGTTGGTCTTTTGACCAACTTTGAAAAGATGAGCTTATTCAGAAAGTATTTTACATGCAGATACAGGGAACTTTTTTAGTGTACATAACGTGTGTGCTTAACTTTGCATAGGTGCCGGAGATGCCGTCCGGAGCAGCAGCCCTGGCCAACTGACTAGTGTTATGATCGGCCACCCAGAGAGCAGGCTCGGCTTCCTGGCAGCGCCATCGACCACCCCTCGAGTGACCAGTCTCGGGCTCCGCACTCTGGCGCCGCCGAACATGCCGACCGACGCGGCGTGGGTGGGGTGCGGCTTCCGGGCGACGCCGAGCGGGCCACCCGGCACAGCGGGAGCTGACCCCCCTGACACCCCGCTGAGAAACGGGGGCCCGCTTCCTCGGCCTTCGGACCGGGTGTTTACCGACGATGGAGACAAGTGGAGACGTTTGGGTCTCGGCGTGTGATCGGGAGAGCTGCCTCTTCCCGCGTTATTCTGGGAGACGGGACGAGAGGGATGCTTGGTCCGGGGTGTGACCACGTGGGAGGTCCGCGTCCCGGGAGACTGCAGAGACGTCCCGTGGTGACGAAAGTGCCCTTTCCCCTCGCGGGATCTTGGACAGGGACCCCCTCGCCACTTCAAGGAGGCTACATTAGCCGGTGCTCGGACTCGTAAAGAGTCTTCCCTTCTCAGACACCAAAACTGAAAGATGACGATGTAAATATTCCTGTATATAAACGTCTTCTCCTCTCAGTGAACGCTCCTCAGTATCTTCAGAGTCCACGACGCTTGGAAGTGGGAGCATGCTCGGCCCGGTATCGTAACACTAGCGAGGGCGAGCCCACACTGGCCAGCAGCAGTAGCACCGATGGGCCCACATCATCACGGTGTCACGCGCACCACACTACAGAAGAAGGTAAAAGCAATTGCATATTGGCGGAGAAGTGTTGCAGGCCTTGTTTCTTATATATTTTGGAACTGTCGTTAGTAGACATCTTTGGGAAACATGTAAAACATGTATGACCATGTTTTTAATCTGTAGTCCGCTGCAACCTGAGAACGAAGGGCGAGGGTAAGACGGGCCGGGGAGGAGGAAGCAGACGGAACGCTAAAGAGAGAAGGTTTTCCTCTCTCTTCTCTAGCGTTCCGTCTGCTTCTTCCTCCCCGGCCCGTCCTACCCTCGCCCTTCGTTCTTAGGTTGCAACGGGCTACAGCTTGTCACATGCCGCAGGAATTTCCTGAAACAACACAATGACTGATGTTTTTGACATATTTTTTAATTGCCTCGTCATTGCTTTGCAGATGTGGGGAGCAGTCTCACGGCTCTGACCTCTGGCACGAAGACTAGCCCTCCAACCAGAGTTCATGGTAAGTTTTCATAGTGTGCGTTGTTTAGGACAGTCTTTGAAGATTACTTTGTTGCGTAGTACTTGACCAGTCATAGCTGGTTCAGCTTTTTGCAACCACTCTGTCACTTTGTTTCCTTTGTTTTGTTTTTTGTAGTGGATCACACATACGCGATGCAAGGCGCGATGGATGGACATGGCCCGCCGCCTGGAGGAAACGATGTGGGGGCACCTGAACCTTCCCCTACCGATTATGATGCGTCGGTGTCTTCGACTTCTGCGGTTCCTCACCAACGTAGGTGTCCGTCATGATGCACAAAGTTTACTTGTACTTCCACATTTTCTACAGTGGAGGCACATTGTTTATTTCATTATTTCTCGAAATGTTTCATAATTGCTTTTGCTTTCCCCTTGTAGGGTCCTGTGCCACCCGCACCGAGGGCAAGGGGAAGATGGACGTGTTGAGGGCCAGACTTCGACAGCTTCGGAAACATAACAAGAGACTCCAGCAACGACTGCAGCGACGGCGTCATATGCTGACTGTCACTGAGATAGTTGAAAGTGTACGTAGCCTTGTCTCTCCAGCCATTGCTGCCCTTGTGGAAGGTCAGCTGAAGATGACCAATGCGAGCAGGTTCGGTAGGCGGTGGTGCAGCCGGAACAAAGCCTTTGCCTTGGGCTTCTACTTTCACAGCCCTAAGGGTTACCGGTACTGTAGGCAATTGTTGAGGCTCCCATCCGTTAGGTCGCTACAGCTTTGGCTTCAGCGTGTTCCCCTGAGGGTTGGTTTTTACCCAGAAGTTTTCAAACTAGTCAAAAGACGTGCAGCTTCTTTTTCACCAGAAGACAAGCCATGCATTATTGCCTTTGACGAGATGCACCTCACGAAAGAGCTCTCGTACAACCCCTCTGTGGACAGGTTTGAAGGGCTCGAAGAAAGTAACACTGGAAGAGGCCATAACCTTGCAAACAAAGCTCTTGTGTTTATGGCTAAAGGCATTCGCACGCCATGGAAACAGCCACTTGGCTATTGTTTTGCTCATGGGGGAACACCTGCCAACATTTTGCGTGACCTTCTTTTCCAGTGCCACAATTTGCTTGTGAAAGCCGGCCTGGAGCCAGTAGCTGTCGTATGTGACCAAGGCAATCAAAAGGTTGATCTTTTTAATGGCCTTGTTACCCCTGAGAAGCCCTACGTAACTGTGAATGAGAAGCCACTTTTTTTTTTCTATTTGATGTTCCACATCTGCTAAAGTGCTTACGAAATATTTTCTTCAAGTACAATTTTCAAGTTGGGGACCACACGTTGAGAAGCTCTTTCCTCAGGGAAGCTTACGAAAAAGACAAACAGCTTGAAATCCAATCCATGCCAAGGCTCAGTGAGAAGCATTTTAATTTGACTTTTGCCTCCAGAATGTCAGTGAAACTAGCAGCGCAAATATTCAGTAATCACTGTGCTGCTGCAATGTTTGCCATGGTAACTTTCCAGCAACTGCCAGTTGAAGCTATCAACACGGCCCGGTTTATTGAAAAAATGGATCGTCTTTTTGATAGCTTGAACAGCTCACAGAAACGCGGGAAGAGTGCATATGTGTCTGCAATGCACGAAGGCTCTGTTCACAAGGAGTTTCTGAAAGAATGCTTTCATATGTTCAAAAGCCTTACCGTTCTTGGGTGCCCACGGCAGCCTGCTTGCATTCGCGGTTTCTCCTTGACCATTCGGTCTATTATGCTGATTTGTGAGCACCTGACATCTGAGTATGGTTTCAGATACCTCCTGACTCGCCATCTCAACCAAGATGCACTCGAAAACACATTCTCCGTAATAAGGTCAAAGTCTGGTGCGAACGCCAATTCCTCTTGCCGGCAGTTTCAGGCAGCCTTTAGACATCTCCTAGTTAGCAACTTGTTTAAACTGTCTGACAAGAGCAACTGCGAAGAGGACATGGCAACTCTTTTAGCGGCTCTTCCGGTTGGTTTCTCAGCTCCCTCAGCTTCACTTAGTCTAGGAAGCTCACTTCCACAATGTGCAGCTGACCTCACATCCTGTAGTTATCCCACTTTATTATCACTTAACAACATGGTTTACTTTGCTGGATGGCTTGTAACAAGGTTTGTCATATATCACACATGTCAAAACGTGACTCAGCAATGTGAATTGCAAATCAAGAATGCCACTTTTTCTGATGACAGCCAAGTGTTGTTGTATTTGAGTGTGAAAGGAACGGCTGAAGGAGGCTCTGGAAGCCTCTCGGAACCATCACCTTGCTTTGTTTTTTTCGTTCAAGCTTGTGAGAAGGTTTTTGTGGCGTCAATTGACAGTCTTGTTTTGAAAGAAGGCGTTGGGAAGGCGTTGTGCATCACTCTTCATGAGAAGGTCGAAAAGCTGCTGACACTCTGCAGTGAGGATGTCTATGGTAATTTATTTGCTTTGTTTACAAGGGCGAGGCTGCGTTGGTTCGCCCGTAAAACAAATACTGAGCTCCTTGATGCAGCTGCGAGACGCAAAACCCAGCAACGAGTCCAGAGGCTGTGCAGATGAGACAACACTTGCGTTATGCCCACAGGAAGTCCCTTTAGTTTGTCTTACGTGTTGCATTCAACGATCACGCTGGCATACCGGATTGTGCGAGTACATACCTCTAAATTATCACACGCTTTGCCGAAACTGTCTACTGCGATGACCAAATGAATCTATCATACTTTAAATAAAGTGTAAAAGTTTGTTTCGCATGCTCAGACAGTGCGATCAACGTATAGGTTCAGCTAGATGAACTTGAATTTTCAATGAATCAATATCAAAATTTCAGTGTCACAGCAGGCAAAACTAATTTTTTCGTTCTAAGTAAAACATGTTAGATTCATTCGACCCTCGCTGTATAGTGCTAGATGACGTTGCTCACTGAATGATGGGACAGGGTGTCTACCAAATCACTTATTCCAAATTTCCCAATTTTCCCAAGGTTTTCCTCTCTATTTCGATAAAATGTTGACCGTTACTTCGGTTCAGGGAGTGCCTAGTGGCCTGCGCTGCCTAGTGACGTGTCGGGCAACGTTATTCAGTGCAGCGGCACCACGTGAAATCCTTGTGCAATCATCGGGCTTCGTTGCCCGCTGCCGTTCCACTTTCGCTTATCATTTTTACTGATTAGGAACTTTTTTACGGTTCCCTTTATATTACCCTGTTCTTTAAATATAATCCGCCTTACTTAAATATTTTAAGTTTTCCTGGTTGGTAGACACCTCACACACCCTGTGCATTATTGAAGAGTATGTGAGAAGAAGCGTTGACCTCGATGTTTTCTTGTGCAGTGTGACGACTTGAGACATAAACCTGGATTAATGTTTGGTTGTGTGAGGTATACAAAAGTATATCAAACTGCGATGAAAGGTAACTCAGTGAGTCAGTATGGTGCTAACAATTTGCCACAAAGCGAATTATTATCCTTTTTCTAATGCTTTCTTTCCTGTAATTTTGTGGCAGTTTCCTGCGTACTAATCCTCACATAAATAGCCAAGCTGTGGAGCACAATATGTGTGTGACGAGCGCATGTGCTATAACGAAACGTCTCAATTTTTAATCTCTTGAAGCATTAATTCATGTGGACATTAAAATGCAAAAGACATGCATAACCCCGCACCTCCACCTGTGATTGATATAGTTAAATCTTGTTACGAGCTCTCAACGTGAACAGTGCAAGATAAATGCGTAAACGTGCCTCTCGTTGAGAGTATTAAGTGCGTGCATAGAGTTGTCCAGACCTTATTTCACTTCGTTTTAATGCCATATCTATCTTCAAGTGTTCAGTGGTGCTGTTGTAAGTTTTTATATAATAAACTGTGTAAACCAAGCTTGTGCCTTTTTGTCTTTCTTGGCGAACAAGCCGTTGTTACAATGATAAGTACGCCTTCAAAGGCGTGCTGTAACACACTGCTTAGTTGAAGAAGATAGTAACTTATTGGTGGTTCCCAGAACTGATAAAAAACTGGTTCTTTTGGAAGAGGGATTACATGGGAGTGACTGATACAAACAAGGCTATTAGGCGTGAAGCAAGGTTTGAAGGACGGTAGCAGGCATGAAGTACATCTGAAAAACTTCAAATTTCGCGCCACCGGCAAAAATCATTTAAATTTCGCGCCGAAAACAATCGTGACGTCGCAATCTTGAGGAAAATGCGTCATATCGTGTTTCTTTGTTCCTTTTTAATGAAGCGTCACTTCCTGTACGTCACGGGCGAGCATGACTAATGACAATGCCGCGCAACTAACAGATGGCGCTGCGCCCCATGAGCCGCCATCTTTTGCGCCTATGGGCTTCTATGGAAGCTTCGCTACCATCTATACATATACCTTGACTTACCTCCGAGTTTGAGGATCTTTTCCTTGTAGTAGCCGCGCTGGGTGCCGTCCTCGGCCATCCAAAAGACCATCTTCGTCTTTTGATGATTAAATTCTTCTACGTCCTCTGGCGTAAACCGCTTAATTAACGAAATTGGAACTATATCCCTAGCAAAAATAACGGCTTAAAATTAGTCCGGAAAGCGAAATCCGGACTAAAATCATACCGGAGTCACACCGGAAAGGCGGCTTCCGGTTTGCACAAACCGTGAATTTTCAAATCTGGTTCAAAGTCAAATTGGAGGAATTCCGGAGAGGCAAATTCCGGTTCGCTCATTCCGTGATTTTCCTAATCCGGTTCAAAGTCAAATTGGAGGAATTCCAGACAGGCAAATCCCGGTTCGCTCAAACCGTGATTTTCCTAATCCGGTTCAAATTCAAATCGGAGCAACTCCGGAGAGACAGATTCCGGTTCGCACAAATCGTGATTTTCCTAATCCGCTTCAAAGTCAAATTGGAGGAATTCCAGACAGACAAATTCCGGTTCACACAAACCGTGATTTTCCTAATCGGTTCGCACAAACTGTGATTTTTGGAATCCGGTTAAAAGTACAATTGAAGGAATTCTAGACACACAATATGCGGTTCGAACAAGCCATTCCTTGCCAAATTCGGTTAAAAGGCAAATTGGACAAAGTCTAGACCGAAGAAATCCTGAAGGTTTCCAGCTGAACGTAGAAGTAAAAACCAAAGAGTGGAGAAAAAGAGACATACACTGCTGGACTATCAACCATTTACTGAAATTCTTCCTTTTCCTTTTCATCTACCCTCATGAATTAAACTATTTATTTACTGGAATTTTTTATTTTTTATTTTTCATCTACCCTCATAAATTAAACGAATGAGATCCCTGGGGTAACTTCTTCTTCTGTATGACATTTGGTAGCTAGCGTTCACATCTTCCTGATTTGGTTCCCCACTTGGGGCGCTCCCAGAAGATACAGTTTTTCTTTCGAAAATAGCGTTATGGAGGCGGCACTCACACAGTCATCCCCGTGCGCCTCAATAGTTAGAGATTCCAGGATTTCCCTTGCGAGCTGGTTTCTGTGCTTTCCGACGATGGTGATGTTTTCGAAATCAGGAGCACATTGGCATACTCGGCAATGCGCCGGAGGATGGCCACCTGACATTAGTGCGCCAACGGAAGCTGCATGCTCCCTGGTGCGGTCGTTAATACACCGCCCAGTTTGTCCAATGTAGCTTTTGCCACATGACAGCGGAATACGGTACACAACTCCTTTTTCGCACGGGGCGTACGTTGTTCGGTGCGCGGTGCCACAGGTAGACCTCGGATTTTGATCATTCTTAGAATTTACCTTACGGCACATAGCATAAGCCTTGTTGGGGGCTGAGCATACGACCTGTACGCCTTGTCGCCCGGCGATCTTTTTTAGGCGATGCGCTATCCCGTGGATGTATGGCATCACCACAAGAGGTTTGGGGGGCTTTTTTTTCGTTGGTTGTGCATTGGTTTCCTATTTTTGCCGCACCTTCTTGCAGAGGGTCTCGCATACCGGTATTAGGAGTGTACTTGCGTAACCAGAGTCCTGAAGCCTACAGAGCTGTTTTTGAAAGCTACGGCCGACTCTATGGGGGCAAGATTTTTGTAATTCCGAGGCGAGAGCTTTGGTTGCCATCCCTCGTTTTACAGTTCTTGAGTGTTCGGAGTTGCTTGGAAGGAATCCTTTACATGAGCGGGCTGCATACATCCAGCACACATGGGTATTTCTGAACTCCAAGGAGAGATCCAGAAACCGTATGGACTGGTTTGCTGGAAGTTCCTGGGTGAAAGATAGTCCTGGACAGCTGTGTTTAAAGGTGCGTAAAACAGCATCTAAGCACCCGTTGTTGGGCTCGTCTGCTTCTGAATTACACAGTATGAGAAAGTCATCCACATACCTGAAAATGACCTCGATGCGTTGATCTTTTAGATTTTCTTGGATATTCTTACCGCATGCTGCAAGGTACAAATCGCACAAGTATGGGGCTACTCGGGATCCTATGCATACTCCACTTTTCTGTACATAGCGTTGCTCCTGGTGTGATATCACAGTCGCTGTGAGGTAGATTTCTAGAAGCTCCAAGAAGCTATCGAGGCTCATACCAGCTGCATTCTGGAAGCATTGAAGGCCCTGCTCCTCGATGGTTGTTCGGAGGATCATCAGGAGAGCGGCATGGGGAATCGAATAATACATGTCCGTGATATCTAAGGAGAACCCCAATACTATTTCACATCCTTTTTCCTGAAGAAAGGAAATCACTCGGTCCGAGTTTGGTATTCTGAAGGGGTCGTTTACTTTAACTTGTGCTAGAATCTTCGCCAAGACCTGTGACACATTACTTTGCCACGTGTGTCTCTCTGATACTATGGCGCGAAAAGGAGCATTGTTTTTGTGTGTTTTTGCCGAGAAAAAGACACACAATTCGCCTTGTTGCGATCCTCTGATTTTGGTGATGAGGCTTCTGCATTGCTCCTTTTCAAGTAATTTGAGGATGGCTTTTTTTGCTGATAGAGTTTGTTTTGGATCTACTTTTTTGAAGTTCTTCGTCATGGCTTGTTGGGCTTTTTCTCCATACGACCCCGCATCCAGGGCTACAAAACCTCCCTCTTTGTCGGAGAGGCACAGCCTTTGCGGCGTAGTTCCTGCACCGTTGAGGCAAATGTCATATTTGTAGTGTCCTGGTTGCGTAAGCTGGCCAGGCATTCAAGTCCCTCATTGATGATTTGCGATGATGTTCCCTGAGGTGCTTTGGACGCAATTTCCCTTACCATTAGGACCTTATCGATGGCGTCTTGCCTTGGTGGGAGGCAGAACTTAGGCCCTCGTTCGAGCACGCGTCGGGCAGGTGCCGAAAGAGATACGTCCCCGATGATCTGGAGCGGCAAGCTTTTTGGTGCCGTCGTAACTCTTCGTGCTAGATGTTGTTTCCATGTTGGGAGGAAACACATCTTCCAAAGGTACTCCGTGGTGTATCTTGTCACTGTGATGTGGTTTGAAAAAGCGTTGGGGCTGAAAGATTTCACCCTGAGAAAATCAGTGAGAATGCGTACTTGGCGCCATGCCTCTGATTTCAGAATCTTCGAAACTCGTTGGGCATGCCCCTGTGATGGCTCAATGAAGCCGAAGAAATGCCGTACCTCGTCAAGAAGTATCTTCTTTCTGATGCTGCGGGCGAGCAACCTTGCCCGGCAGATGTTGGTTGCAATGAGATGACAAAGACCTTGCGGGTGAAGGAGGTGAAAATAAAGAGAAGATGTGCTCAGAGAACTAGAAAGATACCGGCGCAGCTCCAGGCAGTCATGAATTATCTTTCTAGTTCACGGGCGACACGCACACGGCGTGTCGGCCGTGTGCGTTTGAACAGTTTGAATGCCTGCGTTCACGACCGGCTAACGGTTAAATTTCCCGATTAGCCGTGATGCGTGGAACAGGCCTTAGTTTTAAACGTGTCCGAAAAAGACGGAAGCGACTGTGACACGTGGAACTACGTCAAATCAGCTCAGCAGCCAAGATCATGCAAGGGATCCGAAGTAAGTTTGTTTCTTTGTTCGTTAGAGCTAGCTTATTTTCTGCGTTCAGAAGGCTTGTTATTGTCTGTAGATCGCTTGCTTTTACCACTATTATTAATTGTGCGCGAATGGCGTTACGCGAGACTGTTTTTCTTCTTTTTTCCCCGATGCAGAGGCTGTACTCGCTCAACGTCCATCAGTAGTGGCGGAAGTCTTTGGGAGACGGAGGGTGGCGGGGTGGGGGTCAAGGGCGGAAGAGGAGGGGGGTGGGTTGATTGCCTCCTCAGCCGTATTGTTTACTGGTAAACAAGAATGTCTGGAAGCGCGCGGTGCGGTGCCCCTCCATCGCCGACGCCATTGCGTGCGGAGAGCTGGACCCGACAAAAAGCGGCGATTGATTGATCGAGCAAGCCCGTAGCTTCCACCTCCCAGTCGTTTCCAAACAATTTCATTTTCGCGATTCGGAATCAGAAAAGGATTGCCAAAAATTGGTGCCGCAATGAATTCACCCCACGGTTATTGATGCATAGCATACCTCTTTCGATCGCAGAAATTTGTGCCCCTGAAATAAGTTTTGACACCGGCACTTATACATCGCGAAATGTCGAGCTCGAAATATCATTTGCTGTACACGTGTTTTGTATGATCCAACGCACGTGCAACGAATTTCAGACTACCAGAAACACTCAGGCTGCTTTAATTATTAAAGCATTTACACTTTTCATACGGCTGTTTTTTAGAGGCTATCAAGTAATAATTACAAGATTCTAGGGAAATTTACAAGCATGTGCTTGTAAATTTCTAGGGTGAGGCGTTACACATACCTCACCCTAGCCCTGATTTTTCGTTTGGTACTGACTTTAGCGAATGGTGTAAGTTGTAATTGTTTTTAGTTGTTGCATGATTGTAGTAAGGTGGTGAGCTGGTACTAA